GGCGAGAGAGGGGGGGGGGGGGGGGCGATTTGCCCTGCGTTTTGTCGAGCGTTGTGGGCGCCGTCGAACCTTGCTCTCCTCAATAGTCCTTTGCTGGGGTCCTGGGCGTGTTGTTTGGAGTCCAGAATGCGCTGGTTGGGCGACGCTTGCCAGGCGTCGTAGGACAAGAAGTGGCGTTCGAGTCTGGCGCTGAAGCTGCAGCTGTGCCTCGTCGATGGCGCGCTCTCCTCGGCGCGCCGCTGCTCGTTGAAGCGCAGGTGCAGTAGGGCGCAGGAAATAACACCTCGCGGCACATCAAAGCGAAGTAGAGGTGTAGATTCGCGATCGCCCAGCCGCCCTCCAGCACGATGACACACTTGCACAGCTGGTTGGATGCAGGGGCACCTGCGAGCACAGTGACGGCAATCCGGCTGTGTTCGGCCCCGAAAGCCAAAGGCTTGCGGAATGCTCGATGCATGCTGGAGTAGAAGACGCGAGCGTCGGTTACCTGCTTCACGGCGGGGCGATTCCACTGTGGGCCGTGAGCGCCGGAAATCTCGATCCTGATGCCAGCGTCCATGACGCGGGCGTACCAACAGGGCAGTGAGTCGAGGATGTGGTTAGCCTGGGTAGGAGGCTGGCAACGACGTCGGCAGGTCCGCGGCACGCCGGACAATGGACCAAGCTGGCGTCGGTGTTCTGCAGAGACTGCGGGCGGCGCGCGCGGCGCAGAATGAGTCGGCACTGCAGTCGTGCATCTCTCTCGTCGGGGGCGAAGGCCTCGAGAGCCATGGGGCGCTCCTCATCGTCGCCGCAGAAAATCGAAACTCTGGGAGACGCCGCTGGCGCTGCAGCTGGCGCGCCATTTGGAATCGCAGCCAAGGGGGGGGACGCTGGCGCTGCAGCCAGCGCGCCATTGGAAATCTATGGGAGGCGCTGCCGGCGCTGCATCTGGCGCAGGAGAAGGGTGCGTCCACCTCTCTCCCCAACTCCGCGCGGCTTGGCGCTGCTGGTCTGCCTGCGGTCGCACTAGCTCCAATGCTAGCTGCGCGCTGTCGAGCTCATCGAGGTGTCGTCGCTGAGCGTGGTCGAGAGTGGATTGCGCGGGGCGTTCGGCCAGATTGCCGCCCGACGCCCATGTCTCGCAGCCGGCGAATCACGCGGCTAGTCCCCTCCGCGATGGCAGGCGCGCACCCGCCAGCCTGTCTTCGTTGAACAGGGCCAATCCGGAGAAGCTGCGTCCGACACCGGCGGCGGCGCGGGTGCCGGCGCCGATCGCGATGGCCAAGCGGAGCTCGATCCGCATGGCGCGCAGATGCCGAGCGAAGCCACTGCTGGCATGCAAGGCCCACTCGGCAGTTGCACGTGAGCAGGTGATGGCATGGGGGCTGCGGCCCGAACGTGGAGGTCGCCCAGCCAGTCGCGCCCTTGGTCCTGCCCCCAAGGGAAAGCGACGACAATTAGTGTCCACGGTGGTAGTGCTGGCGGTGCGGCTGGAGCCCCCCGCGCCGCAGGCGCGTCTGGCGCTGCGCCCCCCGCTGCTGCCTACTCAGATTGCAACGCATTTGTGCTGCCCACTAGCTGAGAAGAGGTTTGCACGCGGCCCATGAGATCGCCGATCTCCTGTCGTAGCTGTCGCGACTCGGCTTCGCGGGGGTTGGATGGCGCCAGTGGAAATTACGCACCCGCCCAACGTGGCCACTGACGGAGGCCAACCTGTTGCCCCTAAACGTCGGGCGGCGAACTTGGCGGAGCGGCTGCTGCCACTGCCGACGCTGGCGCAGGCTGCCCGCCGCCCCGGGGATCAGCGCTCGGCGCAGGGTCACTTGCGCCTGAGCCAGCAGACGCGGTCTGAACTTTGGCTGGCGGAGACCCTGCCATCCAAGCCGAACGGATGCTCTCCGGGGGCCGCCGCTCAACGCAGCTAGGCTCGGCGGCCACTTGCTGCCCCAGAAATGACACTGATGTTGGGCGCCGGTGGATGGCGGTGTCGGCATCGGTGCCTGAGTCGATGGCAGCGGCTGGGAATGCCCCCAGCGCTAGCGGTACTGGCGCAGGCGGGCTCGGCGCCGCCCCCAATGCTGATGGGCCCAGGCCGTCGTCGATCCGGCCGCAGGCGCTCTAGGCCTGACCTTGCGCGGGCGCGCCTGGAAGTAGTCCATGGCGTTGGGCTGACTGCGCCGCAAAGGCGAGATTGCCAGGCGACCCCTCGACCACGCGCCCAAAGCGTCGCAGCTGGCTCTTCATATGTGCGAGCTGTGCTGCGTTGATTGGGTCGGCCACGTTGTAGTGCCGCAAGTTCACGGTCAGTTGCGCGCGCGACACTCCAACCGAACGCAAGGAGGATGCTGAGGCCCTCGTAGCCGATCAGGGCGGGACAAGCTAGTTGAGCGCAGTTGCGTAGGATGTCAAAGCGCGCGAGGAGGTTCTCGATGCGTTACTGCGGCGGTCGGTCGAAATTCACGATTGCTGATATTGCCGAGGCCCGCTCCCCCTCGCCCAGATGGGCCCCAGCGCTCGGCCAAACAATGCATCGAGAGCGTCATTGATGGCACTGGGTTGCCGTTGATGGCGCCTCCGTGGGCGAGGACAGCTGGCGGCCATTTGTCCACGCACTCTCGGGCCATGCCGGTGAGTCGCGACGAGACGCAGGCCGCCTGGCGGAACTCGTTGGGGTCGGAGTTCGCCACTGACCATATCTTCGCCCCCCGCACCCGACGCTGGAAAGGAACCCGCGATTGCTGTTTGGGCCCTCCGGCGCGGAGGCGACGCACGTTGCCGTTGCCGCCTCCTGCGCCCACGCAAGTGAGGCACCACTCCGGTGGCCTTCCTTCCAGAGCGGATGTCCCTCCATAGATCTAGGAGGCGCTGGAGGCCCGGGGCCCACCGACGGCCTTGCTCTGACCACGAGCCTCGGAACTGTCACGGGCCCCTGCCCCGAGGGCGATCCTCTTCGCCAGCGCATCGGATATTGCCTCCAATCGTGTCGTTTCGGCGATCTTCGTCGCAACGCAGCTGCGCTCAAGCCCCTCGCGTGTCGCGTCGTCGCTAGACGGAGGGCCGCTAACTTCATGATCGCCCGCAGGAGAGCCCATCGGGATCTCGCCCTGCGAGCCTGCAGTGAATCGGCGGGCGTGCTCAGCTGTCGAATGACAAGAGAACGTGGACAGCTAAACCTAAACCTGCTGCAGTTCTCCTTGGAGGCATGACAACGCAACTGTCCAACGCCCCACCGCGCACTCATACTTATCATCGCTCTTATCCACCTGCGGTTCCCGCGGCGCTCGCAACACAGTTGCGGGGCGCTCGGGGCCCTGGGCCGACGCTTTTGATGAGGTTAATGGGAACTTCTAGGTATGTTCAGCGCGAGGTCCGAGGCGCCCTGAAAGCGACACCCACAATAGGAATACGCCCCGAGAGCAGGCTGCAGCGGCGGCGAGTGGGCGTCGAGCTCCTTGTCGATCCTGGCGTCGTGCTTGTACGGGTAGTTGTCGTAGCTGTACGTCTCTACGCACGTGAGGACAATGAAAACGAATGGCAGCGTGACCAAAAGGACAAACCTTCACGAAAGCGACATCCAGGATGTGGAAGGAGGCGAAGGCAAAAGACTGGCGGAGGTGCCACGCGGCCCATGGCGGCGGGAAGGCTGTAGGTAATGGAAGCGGAACTCCGCTACCAATTTTTTGTTCTGAACACGGAAGTAAATATATGGGAGCCTTTTCCTAGGACGAGCTCCGGCCAAGGGTTCCCTTTTACAGGTTTACCTCCGGTCTCGACGGCCGCAGGGCTGGCGAATTAAATCTGCTATAAATGTCGAGGTCGAGTAGGGCTGGCGAATGAAAATTAGAAGATATCCCGAGCGATTCGCTTGTTTTGCAGAAGTTGTTGAGGATGTCTCGAGCGAAACGCCTGTTGTGTGTTGTAGACTGTCCTCTCCTGGGGGCCAGAATTCAGCGGACCTATCAAGTGAAATGCTTGCTTTCACGTGCCCAGTTCTTGAGGGTGTCTCGAGCAATTCCTTTGGTTTCACGCGCCCAGGCCGCCCAGGCGGATGTCTATCATTAGGGTGTGTTGAGGAGTCTCGATCAAAAGGCTTGTTTGCACGTGTCCAGGTTGCCCAGGCGGATGTCTAGCATGAGGGCGTGAAGGGACTGTATTGATCGAAACGCTTATTGTCACGTACCCAGGTCACCCAGAGGGACGTCTAACATGAAGATGCGTCGAAGATGTCTCGAACGAACCACTTGATTTCACGTGTCCAGCTCGCCCAGGCGGATATCTAGCATGGATGTGTTGAGGATGTGTTGAGCGAAACGCTGGTGTTCACGTGTCCTATTCGCCCAGGCGGATATCTAGCATGAGGACTTGGGCAGGACGTCTCGAGCGAAACGCTTGTCCCCAGCACGTTCCATAGCGCGTTTCCTTGGCACGTCCCGCGGTGCGTCCCCATGGCACGTCCGCCGGCACATCGCCTGGCGCGTCCCTTGGGACGTTTCGCGGCGCGTCCCCTTGGCACGTCCCTAGGTGCGTCCTGGCATGCTAGCTCTGGGGCAGCTACCATGTGCTCAGGCAGCTCGAGCTTAAGCTCCAGAACAGTTCGGCCAGGACTCCGATGCAAAGGAGGACTCGATCCTCGACGCTATAGATCACAATCGCGTCATGGCACATCGCAATTCAATACGGCGCAGCAAAGCACAGCCCTCGGCACGGTACATCAAGATCGATACACTCAGCATTGGATTTGCCCGTCGCCCAAGCAGATGTATGTTAAACGCTGCCATACCTTACATATCTATATTCCTTTCCGGGTTCGTGGGTCGATCATGTTTTGCCTGAATGCCTGAATGCAGGAAGGCTAGTACACGAATACAACGGGCACGTATGGAGTTTCTTGGACCCCAAACAGCAGCGGAACAAGGGAGACAGGTAAGTGAGGCAAGGAAGACGAGAGCAGGGATCAATGTTACCGTTCGAGTGGAGGGATTGGCCGGGAAGCGGAGGTAGAAGAGATGAGCGAGGATGACGAGGGTGCAGAAATGAGCGAGGAGCAAGGAGGAACAAGGAGGAGGGGGAGGGAGGAGGAGGGGGACGGGACAAGAAGGAAGAAGGGAAGGAGAAGAATGACGGCGACGAGGACGAAGACAACGAGGACGAGGAAAAGAACTGCACGCTCTGCCCCGTCCTCAGGGCGGCGTCATGCCAATGACCGGGTCCAATCGGCCGCTGGCACGATCGGGCCTGGAACCTTGGACACCGACCCAGCCCGGCAGTAAACCACTGGCACGCCAACCTTAGAAGGGGAAGGCATAAGTCAGGAAAGGACCAGGAAGGACGAGGAGGGACGACGAGGAGGCAGGAGATAGGAGGAGGAGGCGGAGGAGAAGAAAAGGAGGAAGGAGGGAGGAGGGAGCAAGGAGGAAGACGGAGAGAGAGAAATCCGAACAGGGAAGAGGATCTGGAGAAGGCATACCTCCTGCGGGTCCACCCCGCCGTCGACGGCCGCTATGACCTCGGCTCCCGAGTTTATCATGAAGGGGCGCTCGAAGAGTACCTTCGTGTGTGTGGGAGGGCTCGTTACATCCACAGTTCTAATCGCTCTTCCACCTCCTCCTCACCCTCTTCATCCTCATCTCAAGTGCCCATTCCCATCCTCATCCCCCCTCCCGTCCTTCAGTTTATCACACTCTTCCTCGTCGGAGCTATATGTGTCTCTCGGACGGCTATCTAGACTGTCTTGAAGGCGGAGCGCCAACGCTGACTAAGATCAGGCTCTCGGCCGTCACGAGGCGGACGGGCAGGATCGCGCGGCAGCGTGGAGCCTTGGCCGCAGAACATCAATCTAGGGATTGCTATCGCAGGCCACCCGGCGGACTTACAAAATGTTTGAGGTCAAACGGCGAGTTCCTGGCCGTTCGCCGCCTCGCCGTCTCCACGTCCTCGACCGACATAGCGAAATGAGTCCCACTGGAGGCCATGCACCTATCAATCAGGCGTAGTTGATGGACTAGTGTTTGAGGGGCTCTGCTCCCCGCGCATTCAAGAATTAGGGAAGTGTTAAATACAACGACGGCGTTATTCTGTGATCTGTCGTGTGTAGTCGGCCCTTGGCTTCAACCATACGCTCTCGGAAGCACCAGGGGGCAACACGACTTTCACATGTCAGGCCATGTGGCCGCTTAGAAGAGCGGTCGCATCGGGCTACAACGTTCCCGATGGTTGCTCATTTGTTTGCTCATGACGCCAGCTGGCGTCAGACACTGTGGTCCACCGCCTCTGGAGCTGTCCAAAACACGAGGACATACGCGAGGAACTAATCCGGGACATCCCTCTTGCGAAGTCTTAATCCGACTTGGCGGGCTCTTTTACTTTATGTCTTCACTTCCTCTGCGAGACTGGTCTCTTCCCGCGTCCGAGTGAGTGGACCCAAGGGTCTCTCGACCAAGACCAGGCCCTGGAGTCAATGGTGTGTCAATACTCACTTCCTCTTCGAGACTGGTCTTTTCGCGCGTCCGAGTTAGTGGGCCCAAGGCCCTCTCGACCAGGACCAGGCTCTCGAGTGAGTGGTGTGTCACTTTATCATCCCTGTTTTCCTGAGGACGGAATCGGCATGGCGCCTAAGTGTTTGAGAGACACCCATGGAACGAATTATCTGGATGGCTCGTGCTTCCGCTACTTCGTCCATCTCATCTCCTGTGCTTTATGGGCAACTGTGATAGAGAGTTCCACAGGGAAGATCCTGACATGCGCGGGGCGCCGGGGAATTGCATTCGCGGAAGAGTGTCGCTGTGGAGTTCGCTGACACCACGAGTGCAGCGTAGATTCTCGTGGGCCAGTCGACCTTTCAGTCAGACTGCCAAGGTGTGGCCACTGATTTCGGGAAGCCCCCCGACGTTCGCCACTCGCCTCAAAGGCCGTACAGTGGATTTATGATGCAACACGTTGCGCAGGCCAACATATTAGTCGGCTGGAGAGAATGTGAAGGCTCATCCGGATAATGACGCCTCTCTGGGCTCCGAGGAGCGAGGCCACATTTGGGGCAACAAAGCGGCCGACGAAGCTGCCACAGCTGGTGACCGCCCCAAACCTTGCATGTCGTCGGCCGAGAACGGCGATTTGGGGCTCCTCATACATGCCTCTCTTGCCGTCGACGGGCTTGCCGTCAATATTGCACGTGTGGTTCCGCCCGAATCTGGAGGGCGTGGCGGGGTCCTGCCCCCCCCCCCAGACCCCCAGAGAAGCGGGGCCTTAGCATGAATGGGTCTGGATTCGTCGATTCGGGCAATGTCCAGCATGTCTTCGAGGCTCGCAAACGAAGCATAAGCACCCCCATGGGGCGATGTGCCGGCAATCTCTGTGCCCAGCCTGTCTCTTTGCATGGGCTCGGACACCGATCTGTTGCGAATTGACTGCACTGACAAGTCGTTTGCATGAATATGCCAGCGCTACGCCTGTTTCACGTCGGAGGTAGGCTTGCGAAGCTCGCGGAATCTTGCAAGCCACTCGCGAATCCTCACTTCAGCGAGAAGCAACTCGGCAAAGGTCTCCACCCGAAGAGGGCTGGGATTATAGTCGACCCTTCAATACGTCTCAAAATTTTGCACGGGTCGCTATATAGCTGTAAACGTCACCATCAATATCACCCGATCCATACGTGTTCCTCCTCTGTTTCCCTTCTTCACTCCTTCTCTCCCCCGATCCAAACATATCCGCCCTCTCCCCTCCCCCCCCTCCGCATAGTGGGTCTCCCAATCTTCTGGACCTCCAATCCTCCACGCCCTCCACATCCTCCTCCTCACCAATCCTCTTCATCGTTGGCACTTGATCCCGCCCTCTGGGAAATCAGCACGCAAGGTGTTTGGTAGTCCGAAGGTTTTTGTCGATTCAATCGTTTTTTCGGAAAGGACGTGGGCCCAGGGCTCACTTTTAGGACTTTTGCCCCCACTCTCCACGGCTGCAGGGCCGACTACTTCAATCTACGCTAAATTCGCCGGCCCAACGGGCCAAAGGCGTGCTAAGATCTCCGGTAACTGGTTAACAATTCTCTAGTTCGCGCGCGCGGGGCGGCCCCTGGGGGTCCCCGGACGAAAAGTACCCCGGGCGAGTCCCGGCTGATCCCCGGGCGACTCCACCAGAGCGCTCCATGAGCGCACCAACAGGGCTCCGGGACGTCCCCGAGAGCCCCAAGCAAGGCCAAGAGGCCCCCAAGAGGCCCCCAAGATGGTACACGAGGGGTCCGACATGCTACAAGATCGCTCCAAGACGCCCAAGATAGCCCCCAGACGCTCCAAGAGGCCTCCAAGAGCACTCCCAAGAGGGCCCCAAGAGGCAAAATTCATTGCTTTTCCTTTGGCTTTGAAACATTTTGGAGCTTCCACCTTTTCGGCTTCCCGACGCCCCAAGACGGCCCAAGAGGCCCCCAAGATCGCCCCAAGAGGGCCCAAGAGGCCCACAAGAGGGCCCCAAGATGGCCCAAGAGGGCTCGAAGACGGCCCAAGAAGCCTCCAAGACGGTCCAAGAGGGCCCCAAGAACGCCCCCAAAAGGGGCCCCAGAGAGGGAACACGAAACAACATTTCGAGCCCTCGGCCCTAAGAAGCCCCCACGAGGCCCCAAGAGGCCCCTAAGAGGCCCCAAGAGGCCCCCACGAGGCCCTCAGGAGGCCCCCAAGAGTCCCCCAAGCGGCCCCAGGAGGCCCCCCAAATGCCCCCCCGAGCACGCAAGCAAGTGCAAGCGATGCTACAATGTGCTCTCCTTTCGGTAGACTCCCAACGGGGCCCCTACAGACTTGCAACAAGCGTCAAGAACCTGCCCAAAAAGCACTGTCCAGGAGCGTTCACAAGTGCCGCGAAGAAGCCCTCCTTACGCCGGAAAGCCCGGAAAGCCGGGTGGGGTGAGCTGTTCTTCTCACCACCGCGCCCTCTCACACAATGGCTTCCGCACGCCGCCCAGAGCGCGATGCCTCCCAGACTGTATGGGCCGGCGGAATGAGCGAAGCGATTAAATAACGAGGTCGAGCAGGGCCGGTAAATATCAATTTGAGGATGTTCGGAGCGAAACGCTTGGTTTGCAGAAACTGTTGAGGATGTCTCGAGCGAATACACCCGAAATCCTTCACATCACTAGTTTTGGGTCTCGGAGCCCACAGGGCGGTTTTTCATGTTTTCCATTCGACGTTCCATTAAGCCCGATGTCATTCCGAGGCCGCGCGTCGAACGTTTTCGATGGCGCGTCGCGTTATGCGATGTCACGTGCGTTGGGGTCGTCAAAGGCTTGCGTGCTTGTTGCGGATCGGTTGATGTGGGTTGGGGTTTCTCAGGATTGTACATTTGCTTTGCGCTGGGGCGGTTTCGACCCCCATCCCTGGCAGATCCACCCCGCGGGTAACGTCGCAGGAAGAGTTCGAACATTTCGTTCGTAGTGCCAGCGATGCTGTCGCGGACATTGACCGCGCCACGGGGGGGGGGTCGTCCAGAAATTTCCTACCATATTGCAGTGTTGGTTCTTCGTTTTGAAGAGACACCGCCCCGCGTCATTCCTTCCGGCCTCCTCCCTCGTCCTCCCTCTTCGCGTATCTGCCCCTGCTCTCCGCGTGTCCCCGTCGTCATCGTCCATCGTCATCGTCGCCATCACCATCATCATCAGCATCATCAGCATTCTCGTCGTCTCCATCATCAATACCACCACCATCCTCATCAACATCATCAAAACACCCCCCTTGTTCCCCCGCGTCTCTGCTTCGCCACATCCCCCGCAAGTCTCGTGGCCTTGTGAGGTGCTCCACCGAAGGCCCCATCGGCAGGGTCCTTAGTGCGCCGCCCAGCCCATGTCGGCACGCCCCTCAGACGCTTCGTGTCCCCATGAGGAGCTCATCGGAGGTCCCGGCGGCAAGGTCCACATGCCGTCGCCCAGGCCACATTGACACACCCTCAAACATTTCGTGCCCCCATAGGCAGCTCCACCAAAAAAAGGTCCCAGCGGCAGGTTTCCCAGGCCGCCGCCCAGCATATTTCGGCATATGTTTCACACGTTTCGTGGCCCCACGGGGAGCTGCACCGACGGCCCCACAGGCAAGGCCCACAGGCCGCCGCCCAGCCCATTCCGTCATACGCTCACACGCTTCGTGGCCCCATTGGGGAGCACCCCCGATGGCCCAAGCGACAGGGTCCACATGCCGTCGCCCAGCCCATGTCGTCCACGAGTGGCGCCCAGCACGGCTCTCAGAGCGCCCCAAGAGGCGCCGAATAAGTTGCACCCTCATGCAAATAGTTTTTGTCACTTGTGGGGGTCCTCTTGGGGCCCTCTTGGAGCATTCTTGGGGCCTTCTGGGAGCGTTCTTGGGGCCTTCCCAGGGCCCCAGTGTGCCCCCGGAGGGCCCCAAGAACGTTCCCCGAGGGCCCCAAGAGGGACCCCCCAAAGTGGTACAAAGAATTCGCGCGAACGTGCAATCTATTGTAGGCATTTCGGGGCCCTCTGGGAGCTCTCTTGGGGCCCCCTTGGTGGCGCCTTGGGGCCTTGGGATGGCTCCAAGAGGCTTCGGGATTGCCCCAGACCGC